CAAAAGGAAACCACGTATCAACAGCGCGCTGTAAAGTAATACGTATACTATAGTCGGAGAGTAAGAAAACTTCCAGATACGCATCCCTGACGATGTGATTAGCAGATATATCGTGCACCACACGTCGTACGCAATAATCATACGTCCACGAATTCCACTTTTAGTTACAAGTTTTCATAATTTTTTTTTTCCATTACCACGGAAAATTATCGCCATCAAAGTAGTTGTAGTGCATCGGTGGTGCGTTGTAAAATGCTACAGTACAATGGTATAAGGAAAGAAACGAAAATAATGCGATTGCGTATCGATTTGAATACTATATCGAATCGGAGTGCCTGCCCGTTTTGCAAACAGCAATTGATCTCGGGGACATTGGTGTTTTGTATTTTTTAACGTTCCACGGTCGATTTAGATTTGCGTTTTTCGGCTGCGACACGCCCACGATCACATTCATTGCTAATTGCATACCGATCGATCGTAATACGCATTTAAATGACATTTATTCGCGTTGCTACTAGTGCGAGTTCGACTCGTACCACTGTACAGTGCGTACGATACGCGTTCACGTGTAAAACATTAGTATTATTGTAATGTTACGTAGAAATAAGACGGTGCTCGACGTATCGATTTGTTTCCGCCGCGCGTTGCGTAATAGTGTAGGCAGGTAAAACCGAGTCACGGTACGGCTAGACAAAAGCGTAAGTTTTCTGTGTACCATCAACGCCGCGTGTTTTACGATTTACATCGACGGGGAAAATGAGCTGCGGGGCGTGGACACGAACAGTATAATGTCAACGTCGTTGACGGACGGAGCAACTCACGTACTATAATAATACGTTGTATACGTATAGCCGCTAACCTCAGCAAGTCGAGTACTTCTTGACGGTCCTGCAGAGACGTTAATCCGACCGGCGGGCGTACGCAACTCGATTCGATCCGGCAAAATGTAATGGGGCCAACGGATAGTTCTATAGTGCTCGGCCACCCTTCGCACAAAATGGGGCTTGTAATAATACACGTTTTAATAATAGACGACTGGATTTAAACTTTTTCGTGCGATGAATCGATTTTTCAAATATATTTCTCTGATCCAAACTTTTATGAGATCGATTTATTTTTATGTGAAGATTGATTCGAATCGTCAATATAATATTTTCTGCTAATTAGTTCATTATTGATCGTTGTTCCGATTTCCGATCTTTTCACAGTCCTGAAAAATTACAATTTGTTCTTATCACGAACTTTTCATTCCGATTCAAACCGATTTACTTTTAAGAATCACCCATCACTAATTCATTTATTGTCATATGGCGGACTAGCGTTTTATGAAATTTGTTCGTGGCATTAAAAAATAATAGACGATATATTCACCGCACACGTGTATACAGTAATACCATATTATGCTCTACGTTTTGCTCTTAATTTTGATTTACTTTTATCATTGAAACGTCAATTTAATGCAATAAAACAGCAGTACCAGGACCTATGTCCACACGCAAGCATCACATCTGATAATACATTGTAAGAAAATAGTTGTTTATTTTTCCTCTCCTTTCGTATTTTCTTCAATTCTTAAGTTTTAGGGATATAACCGTATGGTATTAGCTTGTTATATTATACTAGGACTAGTGCGTACTGCCACGTAACTCGGGTCGATGGCGCGGTGAAACGTTCAACTAGTGTATTGAAATCAAAAGCTGCCCACCCTCTGGTTGCTACGGCGAAATTAGATACATGGTACTTCGCTAAAATTAACGTTCAAACAGAGACATAGTTGAGTTCTAGGTAAATCGATGTTTCACCGTGGGCCCTAATCAACGTCGATGTTGACATCTTTCTTCCTTTTATAGCTCATGAAATTACATTTTCATTACTGGAAATAGTCAAACGATTGAAGCTGTGAACCTGACACATTTTTACGTCAGACACTACCCCATTGTTAATATCTAGTACTCGAGGCCTCGGAACAAAAGTCTCGACCGGCTCTATTGTTCTCGGCAAAATGTATACGTTGATATGGAATTAATGTGCGTCTCTGCCACTTAAATGTATATATAAATATTGCTATGTGTAAGCAAATGGGGAAACAATCAAAATACCTGCTTGTGGTATAGATGCGCACGGGGTTCATGCATTTGTAATAATCACGAAATCGTGCGAAACGTAACATAACATGCGGTAATGCATTATATCGTATGTTTTCCGAACAAAATGTGCGAAACGTTATGCAGCACACACCGGACGGTCGGCCGCAATCCACACCTAATACGCTATCGTGTATGGCAACAGATGTTCTATTGTTGTTGCTACCCTTAAACTCCTCGCACCCCGTAACATCATCCCGTAACGAGATCCTAAATGGACACGGTGCCCGGGCCCGAAACTATATGAAGAGCGCGGTGCGTGTTTGTGCAGTAAAGTTTTAATCTCGCGCCGCTCCTCGGACAGCCGGCCGGTCTCTCCTCGACAGCGTTTTCTCTCGATTAATAAATCGTCCGAGATCCGTGCACTAACTTTCCTCCGCACTACGCGCGCTGGTCAGCGAAATCCTTTTGGACCCTTTCGGCACTTCCTCGTCCTTCTCCTCCTGTTCCCTCGCCATTCTGTCAGGACTTCGCCATATATATAAATATATATACTACAAGTCGTCGTTATATCACGTCACCCGGGTCATCCATCTGGCCGGACACGCGGGATTATCACATCTGTGTAGTAATATATACGTAGAAATGCATGCACGTGTGTACGGGGTAGCAGAGCTTAGACATGGAAACAAATCTCTTTCGGCGTTCTCAGGTCGCTTTCATTCCAAGTCAAAGGGTACAATAACAACCTAGACGATATGGTGGTCGAACCCTAACGGGAAGAGTCAACCGACGAATGAGTAGAGAAGGACGGGGAGAAGAAAAAGTGCGCCGCACTACACGCCACCGTTGAAAATCGAATCTCCACCACTCGTATACGATCGCGTAATCCAACCTCGGAATTTTGATGCGCCGGGTCATAAAGGGACGGAGAGATTCACCAGTTGTGCCCAAGTCTGAGTTTAAGCTAGCTTAAATATATTATATATACACGCGTGCGGAAAACCCGGTCGATATCAGTGTTTCGTTCGAACAAGAAAACGGAGTAAACATAGTGGAACCCGATTAAATAGTCGGCTAATATTTCGACCGAACCCTCTTCTAAAACTGTTTACGTGATATTATTTTCGATATCACATGATGTATACGACATTAAGTCGTTTTCTTTTTTCTTTTGCTCCCGAAAATATGTGAAAATTGTATCCAGTCTTATTACTCGAACGTTTCGCACCATTTTATACACAATATATTATAAATATAAATTAGAAAATATTATATACGTACATCGGGTTTGAAAAACGTAAACGGGTAAAAGTTTCTCAGTGCCGGGCGACCTAGTCGTCGAACACCGATAAATAATAGACAAGTCGTTAAACGTTTCGGAAACTATTCCAATGACTTCAATATTAGATTTGGGAAACGGGTGTGGTACTACATTTTATAGCATAGGCCACGAGTTATGTTGGACGATATTCAATGAGAAAAAAAAAATGAGAAATAAGAAAGTTTTTCCGATCGGTATAATTGACGAGATCGTAAAGCGATAGAGTCGCTGTATTATAAATACCCGCTGCGGTCTGTTCCCACCGTAGTTTTGTCAATATGTAATAATTTGTTTGTGCCCGTAATTTTGAAAAACAACGCAGTAAAGAGAGAGAGGCGAATAAATCGTGAACACGTGTACTAATCCGACCGTAATTGGAATTGTTCGGATACTGTTTTAAAACGAGCGGAACGGCGTACTCGGCGTACACTTTTGCGGTTCGCACACGTACGCGCGTGCAACGTGATTTGTGCCCGTGCGCACGCCGCGGCAATAGTATCGTTCATTTGGGGCGGTGATAAATTCGCAAAAAAAAAAAAAAAACGATATAATAAAACACGAAACTCTATGATCCGCGTATATGCAATAATAAAACGGAACGTATTACGGTATCCACACACGCTAGCCCATCCGTTCGTTGCGATCGATTTTCTTTTTTTTTTTATAGTCGATTCCTGGCTTTTATTTCAGCTCTTTTTCGGTTGTACACCCACCGCACGTCACTTTGGCCGCAGATATATCTTAGTAAATATCCGAATGGAGTGCATTTAAACCTGAACAGTTCTCGAACTCATATAGGTTTATATACGCTAAACATCATAGACTTACACGCATAAGCGATACGTGTTTTACATATATATACGGACGGGCTTACGCGAACACATGCGTAAGCAAAAAATCCTATCATGGTAAAATACGCGTCTCCGTATCTCAAAACTCAGAGGTCTGCCACCCGTTACTTATTCATTCTGTTATTCGTGTTATTATTATTATTGTTATTGCCATTACTATTACGTTTTCCGGCGAACGCGAATACCTGTTGGTATGTTTCATGTATAGGAGGTGGCTTTGGTCGATATCTGTGTACACATGCGTCGCGATGTGTGTATGTGTGTGTGCGTGTGTGTGTGTGTGTGTGTGTATACGTTCAAGGGGATATTTGTAGCTTATCAATTTGTAAATATATTTATTACGAAACGTATACGTACGAATGTATATACATACAATGTGCTCTGTAGTGTACATTATTTTAGAATGAATTTTTATTTTCTTAGAAAAATAAATAAAAACCACCACACTCGTACCGGCCACGGATGTCGGTTGGAACACAAATCGAAAAATAATAAATACGAGCATACCATATTTTATGTATAAATATTTGCGTCGGCTTCGAGTCTAATAGTTCCGTAAAGGACTTCTCACATTTTATTCGCATCGATATATTCTCCACGGACTGAGACGTGTTGGTATGTCACGTGTCTGCGGCTTCTCTTAGCCGGCATAAAAATATAATAACGATGTGTCACTTTTTTGCTATCACCGTATTGCTGTCTACTGTATTTGTTGTAACAATCGATTTCATTGTGTTTCAGGAAGTAGAATCATCCAGAAGTATCCCGTGCTCGTGTTCATACACGGAGAGTCTTACGAATGGAATTCTGGAAACCCATACGACGGACGTGTGTTAGCCAGCAACGCGGAACTAGTAGTAGTCACGTTGAACTACAGGCTGGGCGTATTAGGTAAGCGACACGATGACGGTCTTTATTACAATATTAATACGTATGGAGGATACATGGGAAAACCGGTAGTAGTCCATTTTTTTCGATTTCGATTTTATGGCTTGATTCATTAGCGAATTAGAAGTAGTAATGACAGTTGAAATCGATTTAGTAAAAAAATCTTTCAGTCAACAATTATTAAAGGAATAAGATTAAGTATACCGGTGAAGATTAAGATATAAGATAATACTTCATTTTTGCTACCCTGAACAATTTACAAAAATGGTCTACTACCATTTTTCTCCTGTACCCTTTGTATGATTACGCAGCATCTCGAAATAATACGATTCCCGTATGTTGTTGATAAAAAAAAAAAAAAAAAACCCTAATATCGCACACCTATATCAAAACAGTAACAACTCAAAAAAACGCTTTTTTCAGGAATGTCGGTTTTGTTGTTGGTACCTTGGTATCATTCATTCAATAAAATCTACTTACGTTGCCATCCGACGGAGAATATTAAAGATAAAGATAAACAACTTGTTTTGTTGATTTATGTAATTTCGTTTGTAGAATCCGAATATACGTTTAACTAAAAAAAACAACTTTTTGAGTTTTTACTGTTTTGATATGGATGTGCGATATGTAATACGGATCATTGGTGCGCGTCGCTCGTAGTACCAATCGTACTTCCAAATCTTTCTAGTAGAATAAGCTCATTCGTCAATTAATAAAATGTAACATTTAAATATAGAGTTCGTTTCGTTTCCATTGCGAAGTCACCGAAAAGTTTTTCTTCAAATTACTTCCGACGGTTCATTACATTACCGAGCTTAATATAGTTCTTGCGAGAGTAATGCTCATCACAATCATTGTATCCACTATGTATGTTTTGAACATAATTTGTTAACGATTCATATCAACCTTCTCAACGGATAAAACCTGCTGTTTATTACCACACAAATCGACAAATCGATAAAGAAATGCACGTTACACACAGCTTCCCTACTAAAGGGGGGAGGGGGGACAGTGAAACCCATGGTCCCGAGGCTTGGGAAAAAAGCATCACATTATATATATATTAATTTAAATTAGAAAAAAAATGAGTCGTGTCAATCGTGGTCATCTTATTATTTTTATACAATATTGCCTGTTAGTAAAAAGATAATATGATTTCTTACTGCATAATTTTGTGTAACAAAAAATGTATATATTACGAGTATACTTAGTATACATTGGAAACATTTTTTTTTTCAAATGAAAGTACTCAGTGTGCAGATAATCCATCAATTGAGAAAAGTCCGAAAATTAATTAGTTAAAAAAAAAAGTTAGTTTTAGTTTTTCAGTTAATTTATTCAATTGTCCGTGTAGTTGCGTAGCGACGAGCATTTATATTTCCGATTTCATCATTTGGCGTAAATAACTGACAACTGAGAACAAAAAAATTGGAAATTAATTAATTCCCGTAATAGGTGATGGAAATTGTTTATTTTTTACCGTGGCATATGTAATATTTAGACCGCGAGTTGAACATCGAGATATTCGAATAAGAGTTGTTAACTTGGTGCTAAATAATTGGGAAATGTACAAACAATTTTTCATTGATGATTTTTCGTACAGATTATGTATTTATAATTATAATGGTTAAAAATATTTGATGAGCACAGATGGCGAGTATGGTCACGTCGAACTTAAATGCATTAGTCGACTTTATCCAGATAATACAATTTCGTGTGTATAGATCTAATGATCTTAATGAATTTTTAGATTATGGTTTATGTGCTATAATGTGTAATTTACTTTTTCTGGCCATGTTGATATAAGATATTATAGTGTTTTTGTTTTTGGAAATAATTTAAACTTAAATAAATAATTGTAAACACTAAAATCAAACGTAATAAACATTCTTTAACTGGAAGACGTAAAAAAAAAAACGTAATGAAAATTGTAACAAAATTAGAATGCATTTAAATTAGGTTGTAAATACACTTAATCATATAATATATTTTACGTTACTTCTTATTATTTGGGTAGTTTAACATTTAAATGTGAACATTTCTATTTGTTGTATTTTGAGTGTGAAGAAACGACTAGAGAACATTTTAGTTTATGTGGTGGTAATATCAAAATATCATTACCGGGATGCCATTGACCTAATGAAATATTTGATTCGTTTACTAGTGAAAATGAAGAGTCTACACAATTTAGAGGAAATATACGTCAGTATAATAGTGCGATGTTTCATCGGGGTATGGACCTTATTGTTTTAAAATATGTGGTGATACATATCATCGTATAGGCTCCCATTTGGCCAATATACATCGTATAGTCAATTATATATTTTAGATTTTGCTAAAACAAATAAAATTTAAAATTACAATATTTAATTAGCCTAAAATTGTATTTTGATGAATTTTATTAATACAAAAATCATCGAAATTATTGCAAAGTTTATTGTTATAAAATCCATTTACTCATATAGATAAAAATATAAATTAACAACTGTAAGTATTTAATAAACATATACAATAAACGAATTATTGGGATAAAAACTTTACCATCACTGTCCATTTTTCTAAAATCTGAAATCAATTGATATTTATGAAGTTTTATTTTACAATTTACTAGTTACAACTTATAACATTTAGAAATAACAAAAATAATATGTGTGTGCGTATCATAAAACTGTGCATCATACTTAGTTAGGGGTACTTCGTTGCTAAGGTAGTAATATTTGCCCAAATGTAGACTCACTTTAGATTGGACATCTGATATGTGCATGAACTTCGATTTTGACATTTGATCGCAAGTTGCACAAGCAAGATTTTGATAATCAGTACACCCGTGTCCGGGACTATAATAAGAGCCAACGACTGTAATACGAGTATCACTAATCAGATATTCTAATCACATTTCATAAACAATAACCCGTGAGTAATAATAATTTAAATTTGAATCAATTCTTATGCACAATTTTATGGTAAATTTGTTCATTCAATTCGTGTAGCGTCACAAAAGTAGATTATAAGATTTGTCGATAAATGTTTCATCACAATGCAATTTTGTAACGTTGAACGAATAATCTCGCCTTGTCCTTATTAAAATATTTCAAAAAGTAAATTATTAAATATACCAGTATAAAATTCAGGTAATATTTATATAATGAGCCGTGGCCTAGTTTTCCCGGCGCATTGAAGTTTTACCTTTTTTTTTTTTTTTTTTTTAAAATAATATATTTTGTTTAAATGTATAATTTCATTATAAGGATTAAATTATTTACTTAAAAAGCGTGTCATAACGTGAATAAATAGAATAATGAATTAAAAAATAATAAAATAAAATACATGCCTACAAATTAGTACCTCGAATAAGAGATTACAAAAAATAAAAACGTATTTCCACTAATACTGTTAACATGATTTGTTTTGTCGTTTAATTGTATTTATGTAAAACAATGAATAAACATTGTAGAAAAAATGAATCATTTAACGCGCTATAATTTTAATTTCTTTTGTTTGCAACTATATTTATTCTTTAAAATATGCTGATATTTTTCTATGCAGCGTTCGCTTTGATATTATTTTCCCGAAGAGTAATATATCATATATTTATTGATGTGAAAACATCTTATATGACGTTCAGATCTTTCCGCTTGGCCGATAAAAATTTTTGAGCGTTATACCTATAAAGACAATTTTTATGACAGTTATATCTGCAATTCTAATGGAGCGATTTGCAGTTTTTTTTTTTAAACGTGAGTACTTTGTGTGTGCATATGATCCATCTAATGATAAATTTCATATCGGTTCGGTATCAAAATTGTGGTGCTGCGCGGCGACACGTAACAGGGTCATGAAGGGAGAAAAGTTTAGGTAGCCCACTGTGATAAAGATGGAACGTTGGCATGGATACGTTCTCTTTTTGAACAATTATAATTCTTAAACATTTTCAATCCTTCTCTACAATTATTATGAAATCATGTGTTATAAATTAAGAATATTTACTTCAAATTCTACACAATAAATCTGTGTTTCTAAGCTCTGTTGTATTATCACCTAACAACTAATTTAATTTAATTATTATTATAAACATTAAATTAATATATTGTCAGCAAATGCACACATACACACACCACCTTCACGAAATGCTAACCATATTAGATTACAATAAAATAAAACGTCCCCCGCAAGACGTGATGTCGTTTATTCTACTGCCATCGATGTGGAGGACGGACGCTGCCCGATTTACGAGTGAAGTAATCGGTCATTCTTTTGTTTTTTTGTATTAATAAATTTTTTTCGTTGTCTTAAATTAAAAGTTTTTAAATATAATTATAAAAGGTGTTCATATTTAATAATTTTTCTACTTTACGTACCTACTTGTGCGAGTATGTGATAAAGTTGGTACATTTACAAAAAGAGTATTAAAACTAAATTGTATTTCAAACCTTAATCCAGTGCTAGATTATATTCTTTGTCAGTTTGAGGGGAGAGTATAATATAGTTAGATAAAGGTTACCTCACGCTCGAAACATCCAGTGCTAGATCTTATTCTTTGTCAGTTGTTTCGAGTGTAAAATAACTTTAGAGCTACTAATGGAAAGTTAGCCTTTTAAAAAACCTGTTTTCGTCTATCCTATTAAGCAATGCTAGATTGTATTCTTTGTCACTTAAAAAGGTAGTCGTCCGGGCCAATTATAAGGTTTTTCTTTACGTGTTTGTTTGACGGTTTGAGTGTCCAACAACCGACCGATACTTCTTTTTGTATTGCTATACATCAAGCCTTTGCGTAGCATATACGACAACTCATACGTTATATGTATTTTCACATCTTCCGAGGTTTCCGTGATCTTTATTTTTTCACTTTATGTAGCGAACACTATTTTATGTATACAAAAATAATAAAAATCATTGCGTCCATCAATTCTGTAAATGCTTGATCGTATTATTTATTATCATTTTTTTTTTTTAATTTATGACTAAAACGATTAGGTACATAATAAAATATTGGACTATGCGGA